ATGGAGAGCTCTGCCTGGACATGGAGTCCCTGAAGCAATTCATCTATCTTTTTCTAAAATGAATTTAATCTTTAAAAAAAAAATCCACACACACATAAATATTGACACAAAAAGTCACTTCACAAAAGATACTCCCTACTACCAACCCTTTTTTAGGTGGCTCCCCCACTCCCATCTTTCCCCCAAACAATAAAAGTTTAAAATTGATTTCCTATTAACCTCTAAAAGATATAACTAGAACCTGACATATCAATTTATTCTGTATTCTGAATACTCTTTATTTACTTCTGTTAGTTTGTCTGTGTTAGTGTTACCTGTCTTAGATTATAAGCTTATAAAGGGCTGAGGATGTCTGTACATTCTCTATGTAAGGTACTGCCACAGGAAAGGGCTTAATAAATGCTTTCTGATGAGAGGGCTTTCAACGTCCATGTTTTTCTGATTTCCCCTTTAATAACTGAGTTACATTGTGGCAAAACCATACTGCCTTTTACTAATAATAATCTTTACTGTATTTTAATAGCAGAATTTTCACATAGCAAATCTGAGTCACGGATTTTCAAAGCATAATATTCTGATGGACTCTCTGATGCTACCACTCATTTTTAAAAACAAAACTAAATGTCATGGCAGAAGAATTATATTAAATAAATACCGATTTTATAGCCAAAATATTTTTCTCAATTGATCTGTTCTTTTAATGAGTGACTGTATAGGACCTATTGCTGCTTTTTAAAATAAATGCCGAAACCATATACATTTAACTGCTTTTTTTTCTCCTTTCAGCAAGACCATTTTGCATAGGTGCTATGGAATTTCATTTTATGTTTAGTCTTAATCAACTTCTTAATTAAAACTTCAACTTTGTATCTTGACATTTTTCTACCTGATAGGAAAAATGGATCATTTTCTTATTCACTCTTTTAAAAAGAATTTATTTCATACTTAATACAAAATCCATCAAGAATTTGAAAAGCATCAGACTATAATGTTATTTTGTTTGTATTTAATGCTATTCTTGAACAATTCATTCCAATGTTCTATATTCCAATGGCAAGCAATTTTCTTCTGTAATCGTCTATAGATGGGTGTGGGGTATGCGTGTGCATGTGTGTACTGTGGACTGGACCAATAAGTTCAATGGCACAGGGATCTCCAGATGAGGAAATTCCCTGTACCCATGTAGGTCAGCATTTGCTTGGCCATATAGAGTCTTATGAGAGTTGCATGGGATCCAAGTGATTATGTGACTCATCCAGCATCACACAACCAATTATGTGTCTGAGGCAGGTCTTCCTGACTCCTCAAAGCTGATTCTCTGTCCATCACACCACAGTGCCTCTCACACTTAGATATCATCATCATCATCATCATCATCATCATCATTATCATCATCATCATCATCATCACCACTATTATTACTGTGTCCATTAAGAAGTCTTTGACTTCTTTGATTTCCCTCAAAACTAATAAGGTTTTTATGTTGACTACTTTGTAAAATGCCTTTACTTGTAATTTTCCTTTACAAAAGAGTACTCTTAGTGCTCTAACAAAAGGGAATTTGGTGGCTAAGATGAGATTCAAATCCTGCGTCAGACACTTACTAGCTGTGCATCCCTAGGCAAATCACTTAACTTCCCTCATCTTTCATTTTCTCATCTGTAAAAATGAAAATAATAAGAGAATCTTCCTGATAGAGTTGTTGTGAGGATCAAAGAAGATAATGTTGGAACAACTCTTTTGTAAACCTTAAAAGTGCTACATAAATGGGATGTACTACTGGGAGGGGAGGAACCTGTGATTTCACTGGTATTGGGAATTCCTGGTTAAGGGAAATCTTTCTACTAGCGCAGGTTAGCACCACTTCCCTATTTTATAGTTTTCAATTTATAATCTTAGAGAGCTAGCCTGGTATAGTAGATAGTCCTCAAAATCAGGGAGACGTATTTGGCCTGGGTAAGTGACCTCTGGCAAGTAAGAGCTGTAAGTAAAAATAAAGTAACACTTATTAATAGGTCATTTTGAAAGCGTGTTGTAGAAGAACTCAAACTCACAACAATAAACTTAGTCAAATACAGAAATGCAATACAAAGTATTGCATTTTTAAAAACATCAACACAACACAATGAAGGGACAAACTGATAGTTTCAGTTAGTTAATATAAGTGGTCATTTTAACTTAAAATGAAATGAGGAATAACATTTGTGCCCATTTTGTTCTAAACTTATAGTGCTTTTGATATAGACGGGGAACACAGGTCACATAAGGAAAACAATCCTCTCTAATGTCTTTGTGGGATCAATGCATGAAGGACTCTGCATTCACACAGTCTATTCTTCCTCATTATGAAGCTCCCTGGATCTTGGTATTGTGGATATACTTTGTAAGTTAAAAGTAAAATGCAAAGATTAGGAACAAAAAGGCAACTTAAGATTCACATAGTTCCTGCCTACATGTCTGACTATCTGTTATCCACTTGGGAGATTTATCTATTGACACCATGAACAGCCACTTTCTGGGCACTGATGACACTCATCTGCACTATCACTGTTGTTAGTGTAGGAGCATGAAGATTGTTTGAGTGCATGTTTCTGATCACATTCTAAAGCCACACAGAAATCATTCTTAGATTGTTACTGTTCCGTATTAGCTATACACGTCTCTTCCATTAGTATGGATAATTTAGTCAACTGTTACCATGACTTTAATCATCTGAACTTCACTGTAATAAAGTCATGGAGGTTCATGCCACTAGTCATGCCAAATACCAGCTAAACTGGGGGATTTTACAGCTGGATTTGTGGTAGTTCCCCAATAGGATTGAACGAGATAGCCTGGACTTGGCTCTTGGCATCTCTGCCGCTGACCAGCTGTGTAACTACGGGCAAGTCCCTTAACCTCCCCTACTTTTAGTTCCTCATGTGTAACAGAGAAATAGCAATACTTCTACTACCTATTCTGTAGGCTCTGACCAGCAGGGTTATCAAACAGTGTAGGGCTTTAGCAACAACAACATGGAATTTCATTTTTACCAACCAAGTAAAAAAATCAGTTCTGGTAATGTATGCTTTGGTATTCTAACAACTTATATTATTTCTATTTATGGGGCACACAAATCAAACATGATAGCATCTGCTTTATACAGATGCTGGAGATAATAGGGAATGAACACTTAAAAATGGGAAAAAACTTACTGCACTTATTTAATTTTCCTTCTATATCTGGAAGAGTGGAGCTGGCTGCAAATGAAGAAAATACTTACCTCTGGCTCTTCTGAGAAGCATTAATTATCTATTGTTTTAAAGGCTCATCTAGTTTTCATTATAGACATAATAACAGACAGGATTGCATATCTATAATGGTACTGATAAGACCCATTTTTGAATTATGGCACTTTCAACTTCCCATAGTATTTTCCTATCTATTCTTTCATTTTACAATCCTGTGAAGCAGATAGGGCAGATAACCTCATTTGATAAAAGAGGAAACTGAGACCTAGAGGCATTCATGAGTTGCCCATGATCACCAGCCAAATGGTTTTATGGCTGGGACATGAGTTTCATAGATCACTGAATCTAGAATTGGAAAGAACCTTAGAGATCATCTGGTCCAACCTTATTTTACACATGAGGGAACTGAGTCCCAAAGAAGTCGAGTAACTTGCCCTTGATTGCACAGGAAGTAAAGTCAGGTCCTCTGAGTCTAGAGTCGGAGCTCTTTTCATTAAGCCACACTGCCTCTTCTCTGTAAAATGGGAGTGGGATTGGGGTGTTGGACTAACTCCTTTTCTGCCTTAAAATTTTGTGTTCATTCTATATTCTAGTTAGTGGCAGAGCAAAAAACCAAACTTGGGACTCCTGACCGCCAGGCCAGTGAACTTTTAGAGGTAAAAGGAGGGGCATTAGGAGTGCGCAGAAACAAGAGTTGGGCCCAGCTCCCTCTGCTTCCAGTCAAGCACTCTTTCTACCATTTTGACCCCTAGTGCCGGATATGATTCATTTAAGAGTTTTTGAGGTCTGAAAAGTCCTCACATTTTGGGATCTGTTTTAACCTTGAAGTAGCCCTAGAAGAAAACCAGAGTCACAAAGAAAGAAAACTCAGAGTTGGGACTGAAGAACACGTCTACACTCTCCTCTTTCCTTATGTGTAATAAGCCCACGTCCAACGCCTTCAAAGGTTGCTCCTATTAGAAATGTATTAACTAAGTCAACAGTAAATTAAATACAGTGGATTCTTCACACCAACATATGATGGAGAAGCAGCATTGTGCAGTTCACCAGGAGTCAGAAGATTTGAGTTCCAGTCATGACTTTACTACTTCCTAACAGTTTATCTTTGGGTAGATCACCTTTTTCAGCCTTGCTTCCCTTCTTCTACCTACTCACCATCAAAAAAGATAACGATTTAATAGGGTTTCATAAGCTACAAGTCCTATAAAAATGTTTTTGTTGTTGTTATTCAGTCGTTTCGGTTGTATCCAACTCTTTGTGACCCCATTTGGGGTTTTCTTTTTTCTAAAAAAGGTAGGGCATTATTATTATGGAAGGTGAGATACTGTTCACCCCTTTCAGTAAGGCCCTAGCAATGTAGTAGGAATGCTACTATAGGCAATCTGGGTCAGTTATCTGGTAAGTTATTAATTCTAAAGTCAAAGAATCACAGAAAAAAAGAATAAGAAGGGAGCTCAGAGGTTATCTAGACCAAACAATATCTAATCTGGAAACCCCTTTACAATATCCTGGGACCAGGGGTCTTCCAGTCTTTGCTTGGAGACCCCTAGTAAGGGGCAGCCCATTCCACTTGTGAAGAGCTCGAAATACTGTGTTTTTGTGATGTCATATGCTAGATCCAATTACTTGTGACACAGGTACCACCATAAAAAAAGGCATACAACTATACTTGGAAAATGTAATTTTCAAAAGACAAATATGAATCAAGGATTTTACATTTATGTATATCCATATATTTTTATCGCATCATTTGTTAGTAAAAAAAATTACCTATGTATGTTATCTTGTCCAGAAGGGACTATACCTAGGTTGGCTACATTTACAATCTTCTGAAGTATCACAGGGGGAGCAGAATTCTGTGGTGAAGCAATGATTGTAGTTGATGTTTCATTCATTCCTGTCAGCATTCCTGTAATATTAAAAGGAAGATCCGTTATCAGCTCATATCTTTATGCAAACCACATTTGAAAAAAACCAATGCTGCCCAGCCAGTGTTTTTAAAGAGTTACTTTTATTAACAAAGTAATCCCTCAGAACGCATGCTATAAGTTAAATTCATAATAATTAAAAAAATGAACCACTACTACTTCTAAATAATTACATATTCCCATCACAGGAAAAATGTGTGGAAATATTATTTCCTGATGCAGTCAAAGCAATTTTCCCCTCTTAATGGATTTGCTTGAGTACTAAAGAATAAAATGGCAGAAATACAAAGATGAAATCTCAATTTCAGTTCCTTTAAAAATATAATCAATTAATCTGAGACTACATAAACAAGCTTTTTCCTTTCTAGCTTATAAATATTCATTCAAACATATTTTATTGAGACACATTAGTTGAGGGCAAATCATAGTGGATTCTGGAATTATGAGCAGCCATTATCTGAGGACTATTTGTCCTCATGAACTCAGAATGATCAAAGTTAACTTATCAATGTTTCACTCAGTTACCACCTGCCTTGTAAAAAGGGTACATTCAGGCAAGTGACACCTGATAACAGCATCTGACTAAGTCATGGTACTATGATTAAGCAATTAGAACTCCAGCTACAAATCTGGGGGCAAAAACCATAAGTAGAAAATAAAAGAACATCTTAGCTTCTAGAGAAATGCCAATACTATTTTATATTTTAGAAAGGCAACTAAGCTAATTAAAATCTTGAACAAAAGGAAAAGGGGGTTAACACAAGGCATGCTGCCAATTTTGGAAACATTTTATATCAAAATATTTAGCAAACAAACACAGCATAATGAAAAATACTTCCTATATTACTGTAATTTAGTATATAGGTTAAAAATAAAACCCAAGTATCACATATGAACCTGTCACCTACACTTAATACTGCACAAAAGTCAAAACTTTGGGAAAGTTTCAAGTGTGTGATAATTTACAATGTTCATGGAAATGATAACAATTTGATTTGAAACATTTTCCTTAAAAGCTCTGTATTTTCATGGCTGAGTTTTTTATCTGTGTTAAACTTATACCAAAACGAAGAGGAAACAAACCCCTGTAATTAGCAGTAGGAAGATACTAAAGGCCACCATCATAATCTGATTTAAGCAGCAAAACATCGAATATGATTACCCAGCTTCAAGCAAAGAGAAGCTTTAACCATTATCAAAACTCTATGAACAGTATGTTCTGTCTTCGACTGCTTAACTTCAATATTAGGCAAAAGCTTTAAAACCTCCACAAGCAGTCAGACGGTGCTTTTAAGCCAAGCACAGTGGCTGCCATAACACTGCTGAGAGATGTGCGTACTCATTTAGGATTTAAACCTTCTCCATTAAGCTCTATTGAAGAGCGACTGCTGAATAAATGAATGCAACTATGTTTATGTTAAAAGCCTGTTTCCCGCAGCGTGTAATTAAAGGAAATGTTGTACAAAGCCAGTACTTTTGTCAAGCTCCTGTAAATGGAAAGATGGATAGCACTCAGAGAGGTGAATGCATTGCTTCATATTTAACCTTAACACTCTTGTCATTAATGGTTTGTCTAACTTGTTCTATAAAAGACAAGGTACTGCTCCATTGAAGTAAAATTAAAAAAATCAACTAAACCATGCTTTTCAGAACAGAAGATTCATTATCGTCAGCTAATGTATTGGCATAAAGCAAAGTAACATCCTATCAAGTAAGGCACACATTCAATCTGCCTTCCTACCCCCCCCCTTTATTTTTAACTCATGCTGTTTTATTGTTATAGGCAATTTGTACCACTCAGCATGACAGTGTAAACTGAATCAAGATTAATTTACATGCAAAAGAACACTTAGGAGAGCAGCACAGTAAGCAAATGTATTGTCTCGATTGCTGAGGTGGAAAAGAACCTGGAAAGAAAAAAAGGTGTTCTAATTAAGGGGCATCAAATATGATTGCTTGGGGTAGTTAAGGGCCAGAAAATAGTAAATGTCTGACCATTTAAAGAATTAGCATCTTGCTGGCTAGGAACACCTAAGACGGACGCATAAATCATAATAAAATTAAGTAAACATCCTAGGTTTTTTTTAAACCCCAGGATTTCCTAAATGAAAATATATCAGGTGTTTTCAAATTAACTAGAAAGAGAATTTTGCAAAGGTTTCAATTAAAGTTTCACCTAGGAAGAGAGATTTTAAAATCTTATCAAGTTATTTCAACCATATATACTGAAGGTTTTAAAACAATGAGGCAATATTGTTTTAAAAATTAATAGCAGATTATTGAAAATTCCCAGTTTTTAATGCTCCATTATTAGTCATTGGAATTCATCAAAATTTTGGTCAGAACCATGAATAACAATTAATCTGGGTTAATTAAATGTTACTAATACACACCAAATAATAAAAGGAATAAAATTAGAATTACTTTTTCTAAAGCTTTACATTACTAATTTATTTTATATAAAGTGAACAGGGAATAGGTGACAGGGTAGAGGGTCTGAAATGGAGTTTCAAGACATTAAATATGTATGGATATATACACATATATATGCCATATAAAGGTATGTATCTATAGATAAATGTGCACACATGCATACACACTAACAAAATGATTTTTGAATCATCCATAGCATCTGGTGTACCACATCATACAGTTAGAACATAAATGTAGCACCTGCCCAAGAATCTAACATAAGTGAATGAATTATGCTCTGGTTCAGCACTGGAAACATGGATGGTATGGTGAACTTGATAACGGATGAGAAAAAAACAAAACAAAACCAACTACCTATCATATTATATTTCCAAAACAAGCTTCATAAAACAGGCATATTCAATCACATATTCCAAAATCCCCAAAACAAGCAATGCAAGATCTGAAAAAGATGACAAAACAATGTTTTCTTACATAGCTGTAGGCAGTCCATTCGAAATATTTTCAATTACTCTCACATACGTTTTTTTTTTAACGAGGTTCAATAGAAACTTATTTTTAGAGTTACTTTAAAGGAAGTCATTTTTAAGGTATGAAAACAGTAACATTTTCCCTAGGTTTTAAAATTTATATTTTCCCCACTTGAATCATAAGTAACACATTTAAAGTATCTGTTCAGTTATAAAATATTGTTTAAAAAAAAACTTCTGGAATGAGATACTAAGTATATAAATTAGTTTCATTTAAAGAAGAAAGAGAAAGTAAACGTAGCATGTGATGAAATGTCTAAGTCTCAGGCCAACTTGCATTTTACCTTAGAGACTGTTGCACTGATGAAATCTGAGTAAATTTATTTTTATTTTAGATTTTCACTTAAGAGTCAAATCTGGAATTCTTCTCTGAAATAAATAAGCTGTTCCTAGAGTTGTGTAACAAACAAATACATGTGTAAAGTTGAGAATTGAGACTTCTGATACGAAGGCTATTGTAAAACAACTGAAATCTCTAACTAGAAAGATGCTATAGAAAAGGTTCTTTAAACGTGTGGTAAATTTGCCAGCATCAAGTCCTGTATCAAAGAATGAATTCAGGAAGACAGAAAGAGCAATACAGAAATGCCAAGAGACCTTCATGGATTTACAAATACTTCATATAAACAAATTTTCAAATAGCTTTATTCAGAGTAGCCTTTCTGCTCTATTAAACATAGCAAACAGCTGCCAGATTTATTCAGACAAATAATCAACAACCATAGAAGTAAAATGGCAGAAGAAAAAGGAATTTTGGCAACAACTCCACAGAGAACCACAGCTATTCTCCAAGTGTACCTCTTCCATGCTCTCATGGTTTTGTATGGCCAGTCAGGAGGAAAAAAAAACCCAAAACCAAAACAAGAAATCTTTAGTCACTGCAATGCACAAAAAAAAAAAAAAGCAAAACTTGATCAAAATATCAAGGAGCAGGGAAAAAAAGGTGAGGGTGAAAAGAGTATACAATAACCTGCTGCTTTATTTATACATTAGCTACAATTTTCAAAAGAGGAACACACTTACAAATAAATGTGGCAAAGCCTCATTCAGTCACTCATGTCACTCACCTTGGCTTGCTGGGCAGGTGTAAAGCAGTGAGGCAGGCTTTAGCCAGCAAAGGGTAAGAACAGCAAATATAAGAATCAATTCAATTTGTCAGTAGGAAAAAAAAAATCACACACAGCTAATTTTTTTTTTCTATGGCAATGATCAACTTCCAAGAAAAACCAATGCAGAGATGAACTGTTATTCTACTCTAGGTGAAAAGACTTCAAAGTCAACAACCATAAGAATGAACACAGACTCCTCTACACAACTACACATTTTATGACTGGACACAGAATTACTCTCATGTCCTTCTTTTCTTTATAAATACACCCTATGTATCCCCTCGACAGGACAGAAGGCAAGGAAACAAAATCAAATATCTGCTTTACTACACTGGGGAGTACAAGGAAATGTTTCTTTCCCTCCTCTGCTATGGGGACCATAACTTCATATGTTCTATTCCATTCCATACCTTGCACATTCTGAGAACCTGGCAGATATCACTTGATGACATCAACACCATGAGGTTTTTAGTTGTCAGTCTGCTAAAGACACTGGAAAATGCAGAAAAGCTTAAAGCCACTTGTGTAGCATTTAAATATTTCCTAAGTACGTAGAATTTTACTTTTTTTGGTAGGGGAAGGAAATTGGGAGTCCAGATCTGTGATTCATTAGTTTAGGCAGCTCACAACTAGGAGACTCCCTTGACCAATGCTGGTCAGCAACTGTTGTACAACTTAGAACCTTAGAAAGTTGCCTAGGGGAAACTGAGAGGTCAGGAGTCTTGCCCAGGGCCACAAAGTGTGTGTCAGAGGAAGGACCTGAACCCATGTGGCACTGAGTCAGAGGTCTGCCACTCTGTCATGCTGCATAATGAGTGTGTCCCCAAGGCCACCTAAAGCTATTTCCCATTATTCATATAAGGAAAGGCTCGATCCAATTAGCAGCTGTATTTGACTTTGACACAAGCACTAGAGACACAAAATATACTAAAATATTTTACATTTAAGTGGTTATTTACAAATGCGTTGGCTCAGATATATTTCTAAAATACAGCATTTCCTTTGTAAAAAGTAATTCCAGAAGGTAATGAAGGAGTTTGCATATTGGAGTCAAGAATAAGTTCTGAAGGGTAAAGAACCTTAATGTCCTAGGAGAAAAAAAAAAGTACATTAGATGCACATGAGAAACGGTCTTGTAAGGAAAGGTAATATTGACATAAAACACTGTATTACTACACATTCAGGTTTCTAGGTGTTGGTAGGTCCCCAAATTTTGCCATTAACACTAATACAAAATGCATTAGTGTACCACCAAGTTGACAAACCATAAATCCCAATACTAAAAAGTTGATTTTCAACTCAACTTATTATGAGTTCTCTTTATAAAAGACATATTAATCAATTTTCAAATATCACTGGAATGTACATGGCCTATGCTTTTAAGATTATCTGATAAAGGAAAATCATTAGTAGATTAGAAGAGCATATACTGAAGCCCATTAATGCCTATGTATATCTGATCATTTATATTGGATGACCTGTCAGAAGAGCAAGCAAATGCGATTTGGGATATAAATTTCCAGCAGATTGAAGTAATTTCTCACCTTGTTCTCTCCTAAAATCTTTCTCTGACATGGCCACAGGTAAAAGAAGCTCTCCAACAGGTGGCTGGATATTAACGCTGAAGCAATCATCCTTTGTGCTAAGGGAAGGAAACACAACACAACTGTCAAAATGATGAATAATTAATATTTTCCCTTAATACTTGTAAGGTTGAAATATATACTGTTGTACTACAAGATATTTTCTTTGCTTAAGATCTCCTGCATAAAAAGCTTGAGAAATTTGTTTTTAGAGAAACAGCAAAGTAGAAAATATTTTCATTTAAAAAAGCATGATTAAGGTACTCTAAAGAGGCAATTTATACTGTCATTAGACCTATAAAGGTGACTTTCTAAAATGTGGAAGAAAACCAGGGGTAAATTTATGCAGGTCATACAGAGGATCTACTAGAGGACTACTCTATATAGCTCCCTAAATAAACAAGTGATATATTTCTTTATCTTCATGTTTCTAAGTCGGCAGGCTCTACTTATAGGCAGTTGGGGAAAATTTCTCTCTCACAATACGGAATTTGTCTTTGGCCCAGATGGGTGCATCCACTATGTTGCCAGACTGCTGCTAAATGAATAATATGTTATCAAGTCATATTTTTACAAAAGCTCTAATTTACTTTTCAGAAATGTTTCTGAACTAAACTATAAATGGTTAAAAAAAAGAATACTTTCCTCACAATATTCCTGCGAGGTAGTAAGTATAAGTATCATTAATCCCCAATTTAAAGATAAGGAATCAGAGGCTCAGAGAGGAGATATGATTTGCCTATGAACCTTTAAATAATAAGCGTTGTGGTTTGGATTCGAATCTAGATTATCTGACTCTGAGTTAAGTGTTCTTTCCATAACACCGATTCTGTCTGTCAAATGAAACTGTTATCAACAGGAGTGAAAAAGTATCTGATTAGTAACCATGATATCTGAATGAATTACAAAGCTTTTTAAAAACAAAAATAAAAAAAGTTTGATGCTTCAAGTTGGATGGATGGCCAAAAATAGTTGACAAACTATGTATGTATGCATGCATGCATGCATGTATATATACACATGTATGTATGTATGTATGTATGTATGTATGTATGTATGTATGTATGTATTAGTTTGTTCCAGGGAAACCCCCATACTTCCTAGAGAAGATTTATGCCCTGATTCTGATTTGAATAATGAATAAAAACAGAAGATGATCTCATGAATGTGGGTACTTGACCCATCAGTGTATACAGATCACAATCCTTCCATGTTTTCATAGATGACTTTCACAAACTGTCGTAGACAAAAGAAAACCCTCTTCTGGTGATCACAGCATCCCAGAATCCTAGAGGTGACAGGGGCCTCTGGGACCACTTAGCCCAATTCTGAACAAAAATTTCCCTATATCACACCCATCAAGTTGTAGCCTACCATTTGCTTGAAGCCCTACAACAAGGGGGTATGTGCTGAGACGTGCTCATTCAGCTTCTGGATGGTTTTAAGACTGTTGAAAACTCTACGGTCCAGCTTTCCAGAATTTCTTGCCAGTCAGCCCTTGTGTTGGCTGTCCCCCAGGCCCAGAATGCTCCTCACTTTGCCTATCTGAATTTCTGCTTTCCTGTAAGTCTTCAAGGCCACCTCCTGCATGAAGCTTTTCTAGCCTACCTTCACCCCAGGTTATCCTTTCTCTCTGCTTTGTACATAACCGTGTGTTGTTTCCCTCATTAGAAGGTGAGTCCCTCAGGGCAGGACAGATTTCCCTTCTGCCTTGCATCCCCAGAGACCAGCACAGTGCCTGGTACATAGTAGCTGCTTAATAACTGCTTGCTGACTGACTAACTGGGAAGCTTTTCTTTCCATCCAGCCTAAATCTGCTGCTTTGCTACTTCCATCCACTGCTCCCTTTGTTGCCTTTTGTGGTTAAACACAAGTCCTTCTTCCACATGAAAGCCCTCCAAACACTCGAAGCTATTATCATACACTGCAAGTTTTCTCTTTTCCAGGATAAACATCCCCAGCTCCAACTGAGTTTTGCCTTCATTCTGTCATCAGTTATCATGCCTCATCAATCTCAAGCAGCTGTCCCATTCCTTCTTTGGTCCTTCTATTTCCCCCAAACAACAAAACTACCCACACTCCATTCTGTTGTCCTTGGCTTTCCTCAGCTCATCCTGAGAGTTAGCCCTCCTGACACCACTGACTAACTGTGCCATGTCTTTGTAGGCATCCTCCATCACAAACTGCCCAGTGTTTCCCTCACAGACACACCTCCCAGCCAAAATTCTTAACTCAAACTGTACTGAACAGTTTACACTACATGATAATTTTGCAAAAGATTTTTTTCCTATGCCATATTTTTAACTAGGAAATAAGATTTTAGTCTATCAACCAGCAAGTTAACATATTACTGGGAGAAATAAACCACACTAATATTGACATTCTCCTTATAAATGGTATGGAAAAAAAAAGAAGGAAGTTGCAGCTATGAGGAAAAATGGCTCATGGGTCAAACGTGGAGATGCAAATAAATTATATGGCACAGTTGATTTCATCATGTGCCTAAAGGTGGTGATAAACATTATTTCAGATGACATTTGGCCATATTGCCTTACTATGCTCATGATCAGAATAAACAAAAAGCTTATATACCAATAATTGTTATTGAAGATGAAGTTGAAAAATGCTATACAACTCAGATTGTTTATACCAAATCAACATACACCTTACTGCTCAGTGACTTCAATTAAGAGGTACACATAAGGAAAGAAGGTAAAAAGTATGTTGGAAAATAAGAGACCAAGATTAAGCAATCAAATAGGTCAAAGGCTTGCATATCATACAAAAGGCTCACACCTATGGGCTAGCTAGGTGGGGCAATGGACAGAGCACAGGGCTTAGAGTTAGAAGACCTGAGTTCAAATTCAGCCTCAGACACTTAGCTGTGTGACCTTGGGTAAGTCTCTGTTTGCCTCAGTTTCCTCATATATAAAATGGAGATAATAACAGAACTTGCCTTCTGGGTTGTTGTGAGGATCAAATGAGATAATATTTGTCAAACACAATACCTGGTACATAGTAAATACTATATGAATGTTTGTTGTTATTTCAAAAATATTTTTCCAAGAAGTCAGATAGTACTGAACATGGTGAGCACCATATAATATCTTTGAAAAGGAAATGAACATCTTAACTGAACTGGAAAAAAAATCACAGTATTAACTATCCCAAAAAAGTGATTGCAAAGACATCAATAACTGACCTATACCCCCCTATAAAACCTTTGTGAGAATGATTTACACACTTATTAAAGTTAGCCACAGCAGGCTGTAACTTATTTTTTAAAAAAGCCATTTTCTTGATGAAACTGCACGATGTATAATAATAAATATGCCTGGCTGTGAAAAGAGATAAGGAAATGAGTCTCTCTTCCTCCTTCTTTGGCTTAGGACTGTGTCAAGTTGCATATTCTTTTGAATTCAGTTGTTGTACAGGTTAGTTTTGATGAAATGGATTGGTGTTTTTTTTTCATTTGTTTGTTTTTTGCTCTTTATTTTTTATTACAGCAGATGGCAAACTGGCTGTGGGAGAGGGGAAAGGTATATTTGGATATGAAGGTGATGTAAAAACAAAAGAAATTAACAAAAACACTTTTTAAAAGGAAAAAAAAAACCAAACCACTGTCACTTTTCATTACCTCTCCCAAAGAATCCTGTCTCATAACAAAGTGTAGGTAGGCAAGCTGACACATGGACCACATCTGTTAGTATATACTTCATTCCCCATATTCCATTCCCCATCCCATTCTACCCTACCAGAACTCTCCCTTATAATAAAGACAAATAATCAAACAAAACCTTCAGCAACTGTGTCCATCTGAGTTTAACACATTTGGCATTCATAATACTCCACCCATGTCTCTACCAAAAGGGAGGGAGGAGTTACCTCATAATCACTGCACTCATCTCCTATCTTCCATCTGCTGGGTCCCCTGCTTTTGCATGCACTAACTTACTTTAAGCAATGCCTTCTGCATCCTGATCTGGCCATTCTTCCTCTGAAATTACTTTGTATTTAAGGGGTTTTTTTTGCACATATTTTGTATATATTCAAGCACCCTCAGTGCAAAGACTATAGAATTTTTATTTTTTTATCCCCACTGTCTAACATAGGACCTGTCACATAACAGGCACTTAATAAATGTTTGTAGACTGACTGTCCATGTGAATCAATAATGGTCACTGCATTTAATTTAAATTCAGACGCCTATGTTGTTTTGGAGTATATACATTATTGTAGTCATTGTACATCTTGTCCTGATTCTGCTTTCTTTACTCTGGATAATTTTATACAAATCTTCCCATGCTTCTCTGAATTCCTCACATTTATACTAGCTAAAAGTACAATAATACAGCATCACATTCATATACTATGATTTGTTCAACTATTGCCCATCCAAATGACAGCCATATCCCCCTTTCCACACACTGCCCCTCCCCCTTTGCTACCACAAAAAGTGCTATGAATATTTTGGTATTTATGGGATAGCTGTGTTTGTCATGTAGAATCTTAAACTCAACATTTCCAAAACTTAACTCTTCATTGTTCCCCCCAAACCTTCTCTTCCCAATTTCTCTATTACTTTCACCCTCAGCTTCATTTTCAACTCCTCCCTCTCTCACTCATGCTCCTATATCCAATCTATTGCCAATTCTTGTCAATTCCACCTCTCACATACATTCTTTTCTCTCCTCAGATACCACCACCATGCTGGTACAGGTCTTATCACCTCAAAGCTAGATTCCTGTAATAGCCGCCTAGCTATTCTCCCTGCCTCAAGTTCCTTCCTCTCCAGTCTAGCCTCCACACCCCACACTCCCAGCTCTCAGTGCACTCAATAAACTCCAGGGGCTTCTTATTACCTCCAGGATCAAATATACAATCGATTCAATTCAATAAATATTTATTAAGGGCCTACTGTGTGCCAGGCACTGTGCTAAGCACTGGGGATACAAAAAAGAGGCAAGAGACAGTCCCTGCCCTCAAGGAGCTTACAATCTAATGGGGGAGACAACATGCAAACAATATATACAAGGCAAGCTATATATAGGATAAATAGGAAATAATTAACAGAAGGAAGGCACTGGAATTAAGAGGGGTTGGGGAAGAGTGGGATTTTAGTTAGGGCTTCAAGGAATCTTCTGTCTGGTTTTAAAAGCCCTTAATAATTTGGTCTATTCTTACATTTTAATTCCCTTCCCAAAATCTGTGATCTAGTGACACTGGCCTTCTTGGCCCCTTGCATACATACTCTGTCCCTATATACGATGCACTTTTGCCAACTGAACCCAGTCTTGGAATGCTCTCTTTCCTCACCTCTATGTCCTGGCTTCCTTCAAGTATCAAATAAAATCCCATCTTTTGCAAGAAGCCTTTTCTGGTGCCCCTTAATGCTAGCGCCTATCCTCTGAGATTATCTCCAACCTGCCATAAATACACACACACACAAATCTATATTTGTATCTATATATCTATAGCTATCTATCTATCTATCTATCTATCTATCTATCTATCTATCTATCTATCTATATCTATATATTGTTCATATGTTGTCTTCCTTCAACAGAAGGTTGGCTTCTAAAGAGCAGGAGCTGTTTCTGCCTTTCTTTTTATCCCTCGTGCTTAGCACAGTGCCTGGCATAATAAGCTTTTATTAAGTGCTTGTTGACTGTCTGACTGTAGTCAAAGGGTGCGGACACTTTCTTGTCACATTTTATCTCCAAAATATTCTTCAGAACAGTAGGCCCAATTCAGAGCTTTACAGCAGCTTTACAAGTTGTGAGCTGCTCCAAATGTTCTGAAAAATACTGGCCCAGGAAATCATATCTTCATAGTCAGTGACTGAAGGACACAGGGAATAAAAGATAGTACTCTATTTTTTTTTTAAGCATTTGACTCAGTAGAGCAAAGTAACATGCATATTTTCAGATTACATAAGATCCCTTAATAAATAAAGCACTTTACTGTGCTTGATGATCCCCTATCTGTCTCAATCAAAGGAGAAAAAAGACATGTATGCTTGTCCAAGTATTTGCCTCTCTACTGGTGGAGGTCCAACAGAATATAAGTGGAAGTAGGATTCAGTATAGATGGCAAATTCTTCCAGATGCTCCTACTTGCAGGTAACAATTTACTAATTTCATCCCTGGAATTTTATAGAGGCAATTAAATGATATTTCCAATTACTCAAAAGTTTGGTCTAACAAATTACACAGGAAAAATCAAGTGGATAAAGAAGAACCTACTGTCCAGACTGGGACATGCAGTTGGCTAGAGCCCATTGAATTAGTCCGTAAGTACATATCTTTTGGATGGAAATTGTAGCTAGAGAACAACCTGGACCCAAAATTAAACAGGAGGAAGAAGCTGGATTAAATTTGGGACACCAAACCATACCTCCAGTGTTCCCAAATTATCTTCCGAAACCAGTATCTAGCCAGTGATCCTGAACCACATCAGTCTCTAAAGAATCAAAACTGTGGCCAATGGAGAGACACATCATGGGCATAATTAGCCTGCAATGTTATATAATGATTATTTTCAGGAAAGGAGTGACATCACGATATCAACCAGGAGATACATGATCAGAAAAGGATATGAGTTGGTCATGTAATGAAGAGTGAAGAACAACAAATGGATAATCTGAATGATGCACTGACACCCAGAGAATATTAAAAGACCTAGAGAAAAACCTCCAGCTCAATGGGTAGGGCATTTATAAATGAAGATATACACAATAATGAGAATACATGGTTGGAGAAAATGCCAACATTGGTAAGATCAAGGATCTACCAAAATACTGAAACAAGAAGATTGAATATCAGACTAACATTCAACTCTTGTTGGGACATATGTTCCTTCAAACATGCATCCCATGTGTTTGTGTGCATCTCTACGCGCATGTGTGTGTACAAAGGAACTATCTTTTCCATATCTGCTAATCTCTCCATAGAGACTAATATATAAGTATGTCAAATGATGATGGGGATTGTTTCTCTGTTTCTAAACTGCATTTGTTTTAAAGTGTACTTAATGATTTATGGGTGATATTCATAAGGCATCGAATTGGGTAACCATTTGAAATATAAATATATCAGAGCAAAGTTAATCTCTCCCACTAAGTTTCCTAATAATCATAATAATATGAAACCAATCCATAGCCTCAATAATGAAACAGTATCCATTGCCCCATTTTCTTTCTGCTTTGATGGAAAGGAACTGCCTTTAACAGCTTGTCTTTATGGTTCACAGCTACTTCAGAATGTAGAATCTATTACACATCTGCCCTTCTTACTTCTATATATCTGCACTAAAGCACTTGGGAGGAAAAAGCAGCATCTATCACACATTCTTGCTTTTTCTTCCTTTTTTTATTGAACCACAAAGAAAGTACAGTACATCGCTAAGTAAAAAGGTGCTATTTACTATGCAAAACACACAGTTGGTGATTGGCATCTAAGACCAATTGATCCACACATTACCACTATCTCCCTACCCCCACAAGCACTACTATAAAGCTATTGATTTAAACACTGTCGATCGGTTTCCATTTTCTGATTTTGGGCAGGCCAATTAAGAAAGTGAGTAATTGTGATTACATTGCTTCAGGATCAATTACATTTGATGCAAGACAAAGTGCTCTTTTTGGAACACATAAGGAAAATAATTATGATTCTGGGTGCTTTGGTGCTGAGCCAATTCCTAATAAAATTTCAAATAAATGCTATGCACATAAACCTCCATAGTTAAAATTTTAGAAAACCCATATATATGTAGATATTATTAAGATATTATGGAAAATATATTTAAGTTAATTCCTAAAAGAGCCAAGAGTATTTTAAGCCTATTTTGGAAATGTGTGACATAAGATAAATTGTTTAAAGCAGTTCAAATACTTATAGACTAAAGAGTACCCACACACTGATGCCCAAAGGGACTTTAAGATTAAGTTAGAAGTGATTTTACCCAAAAAATTATTTATACTGGCTATAGATTTTTTAAAAAAAGGTAAACCAGAATAAAACACCATGACATACCTATTTACCTAAAGGGTCACATACAAAAGCTTCATAAGAAAAGGGACAATTGTGGGTTCTCAATTTTAGACTAACTTGGCACATGAGCTTTGTCATTGGGCTCACATTGCCCAAGTCATTACAAGGAATACACCAGTGGTATGGGAGGCAAATCTATTTACAGTGACGTTACTCATAGTCTAGTGTTCAGTAATATTGATCTGTCTTGTTTGTCTAATAGGAAAATAATAAACAATTACTAGGCAATGTTGGAAAAAGTAATCAGTTTTTATATATCACTAATACAGCAGACCTCCCAAAACATAAAGGTGATGATCTGCATAAAATCAATGTGCTATGCTACATTGGTTGTATTCATCATTGCAGGTTCTCAGCAATAAAAGGTATAATATTAGGCCTGAATCATTGGTAAACTGAAAAGTTATATGTCAAAGAAAAGTTATGTATGTAATCTATGTTCCTGTTACAAAGTGACTATTTTGTAAACTTGATGATTTTCTATAATAAAAATTTGTCTGTAAAAATAAAGGTCTGTAATTTAGACAAAATACATCACACATTTCTTCAGCAATAAAAAGCGCCACAATCTGGAACTTAACATTTTCCAGTAAGATAAACAAAGCTTATAGCTGATTAGAAAGAATATATCCATATAGAAAACCAGAGTGTAAAGATTAAACTCAGAGCTTATTAAAGACTTGCATTTATTTATTAATATGGGATTCTAGAAAAATAACAATAGCAAAAGAAAAACATATCAAATGGTTAGAACAGAAAAAGAAATAAGGAAATTATTTTAATAATTCTGGATTCTATAATTCTGGAAACTATAATTAAGACTTACTTATAGAACTAATCTTTCACCTCCATTCTCTAAAACAGTTCTCAGCAGTAGTCACTTGTGAAAAGTGCAAAATAACACTTATTTGACAATATTAAGCATGTGTAGTTGCTATTTTTAATGACTCAAGTAACTAAATCCAACAGGTTTTCAGATAACTAAGCCTGGTTACTAATCCTCCAACATGAGAAGCTTAAGATGAATAGCTAAGATGTACAATTATATTATATGTAATGTTCTCAAATTTTCTATATCATACCACAGTTTCTTCTCCATACATCATTAAGAAAGATTTAGGCTTACACATGTACACGAGACTATAGTACTCTAAAAGTCAATTATGAAACTAATTTCAGTAATAAAACAAAATACTGAAAATGTCCATATTCCATACCATTTGTACACCTATTCCAGAGTAGTCCAAAATAGATCAAAACAAAGCATTTAATTTTTATCTTTTGGAAGAAAAGGGTAGCTGGCTGAAGGCTAAGAGTTTGTTATTAATAACCAGGAATTTTTCTCGATCAACCTAGTACCACTAAACAAACTACAAATATAAAATAACACTTAACTTACCACAACTGGAAACAGGCAGTCTGAGTGGAATCACAAAAGTCAATACCCATTGCAACAGTAATGGATCCCCCAGGCTCAAGAGAGTCTAGGAAATAAGATCATTTGGATGTGAAAACACAGTGACTGTCACAAACAATGAACCAAACTCAACACTCAAAATTTTTCTAACACACAAGTTACTTAGTGCTATAGTCAAGTCAAATTCGGTCATTCCACATAAAGTTTCTTAAACTAAGGATTTTAAATTCGAATATTTTATACATTATAACAAATCTTACCACACCTGTGAAAGGAATTCTCTTTAAAAGTTCATGGTTTTCATAATATTGTCTTTATAGGTTATAGAGGTAAGGATATAATGAATTACTTTGGGATGCTTCAGCAGACAAACTAGTCCTCAGGGGACTTAAAAGAATTTATGCACATTTAAAAGACAAACTTAAGGACAATAGGCTTAAAATTGGTAATGGGAAAAATCCCACAATAAGAATAGCTTTTAAAGAGTTTTAAAACCATAACTTACAGGGATGCTGAAGTAATCATGGAACAATATCAAGTAACTGTACTCAGAAATTAACCAGGAGAACTGACATTTTTGGAGACCAAAATGACAAGTCTATTTTACATTATCTAGAGGGTTTCTGAGAGGAAATCTGAGTAGCAAAAGATGAGACCATCATAAAAACAATTAAGCTAGAGACACAATATAGTTTTTGGAATCTTTGGAGCTTTAATAGTATGAGATCAATCAACTAACATCATTATGAAGTGTTGCCACAACAAACACACATATCTATTTTATATCTTAGCTGTCACTTGTCCAATTCAAGTAAAATATTTTATTCAGCTTATGCTTTGAGCCCAGTTATCTTTCAGTTAGTTACATTTACTCCATACACCCACGTGAAATTACAGAATCATAGGATCCAACAGTTGGAAAGAATCCTACAGGCCAAGGCCAAGTCCTATCAGTTAAGAACAGCCTCTACAACAACCCAACGAGTGGTTACCCAGACTCTATACAAAGACCTCCAGTGAGTGGGAGCACAAGGCAGCCAGCTCACTCACTTTGGGATAGTTATCTGTTAGGACCACTTCAAAACTGCTAGTTCATTTCTCTTATATCAATACTGAATCTTCCTCTCAGAGACTTCCATTTGTTGCTTCTAGTTCTCCAAGTGGAAGGAGTCTGCTGTTTCTTTCTCATGATGGCTATAATGTTGCTTCTAAGTCTTTTCCTCTCTCGGCTAAACATCTCTAGTTTCTTCAACTGATCCTTATTGACATTTTCTCTTACCATCTCTATTAGTCTCTTCAGAACATTCTCCAATTTGGCAAAGTCTTTCCCCAACTGTGGTACCCAGAATAGAAAACAATACTACAAATGTAGTTTGACCTGAGCAGATTTATGATTTCCTTCATTCTGGACAGAATTCTTCTCAATATGGTATTTTTTTCTGGGAGTGGGGACTAACAGGTTCACACTGTTAACACTTAAAGCTAACAGCTGTCAAACCATGTCTTCTCTATTCTATATTCAAGAAGTTGATTTTCTTAATCCAATACAGAATTTTACATTTTTTTGTTCCTATTAAATTTCATTTTGTTTATTTCTTCTGATTATCCTAGCTAGTTGAGGCCTTTTGGGACTCTGATTTATCGTTAACACAACTTTTAAAAAAATCTACATGAAAACATGAGTTACATATTATGAAGAAATATTAGAAACATCCCCATTAAAAACAGTTCAAAACAGGATTGTCCATTTTTACTAATTCCAGTCAGCAACTTTTAAAAAATAAATGATAGCTACAGCCATAAGTGTATTATGCTATAGTCCATCTTTCATTATCATGGAAGTGATCAAAAAAGTGATACATATAAGCAACCCTTTTACAGTTGTAAAGATGCTGTAGAATTGTAGCCATTGTGTTTGTCAGCCACTTTATCACACAGGGACTTCACTTTACAGGATGTACAATGCCTTTATTCAAAAGTAAACAACCACTTTTTATTTCCGTATTGCTTTGAAGTCCACTCACCCTACTTAGGATTAACTGACTTGAGCTTGACCTACAGCAGCTGCCTAAGTATCTTACTATTATTTATCCTCCATGCATGTCTTGTCCAGTGCAGTTATGTGGTAGCAAGCATCACAATACTAGCAGACTAGAGGTCATCTTAATGGTGAATCTGTTGGGTATTTTTCTTCAATGTTTCAGACTGCTTTCTTAAAATTAATAGACTTTACATTAGACTTGAAATCTGCTACTTCTGAACATAGCATGTTTTGAGTATTTTTCAGTTTTAAGTCACATCTAATAAGTGAATGAATGATGCATTCCATACTTACTGAAAATTTAATACAATAATGAAATGAATTATTTAAATACAATTTATGCACATACTGATTATGAAAACATATCTCTTTCAATACAATATTCTACTTAATTAATATTCTGTCTCAATAAAAATGATAAAGCAAAGCAAATAACCCATTTTTGAAGTTGCTTTCCCTCAACTACAGAGGTCTGGATCTCCTCTCCTTATGTATATACTCTGTCATTCAGGAAAGCTTTGTATATGTAGAAAAGACTAGATAGCATAAATATTTAATCTTAAGTCCTTCCTCCTAAAAGATGCAAACCTGCAGAATAAATCACTGCCTAGTTTTCACTAGTTATTTAATGTTACATAGGCTATGTATGATGCTGATGAAAATGTTGAATGTGAGGTAGGCCCCTCAAGACTCTCAGTCTTAAAAAATTAGATAATTATCAATCCAATGCTGCTGTTCTCACATTCTGTCTCGCTGCCTCTCAGTCATTTGCTTCATTTCATAGAATTTAAAGTTTTGGCAAGGGCTCTTAGAGAATTTCTTGTTTAGCTTCTCATTTTGCTGATGAGGAAACAGTCCTAGAAAGGCTAAATGGCTTGTCCAAGGTTATATGCCTAGAATCAAGGTTTCCCAACTCTTAAGTCCAGTATTCTTTTCACTAGATCATACGACCTTAATTCAGTTTTGTCTTTCTTTCTCCAGTAGCCTATAATTGCTGCACAAGTGCGAGATGAAAATCTTTGGCCAGATTCTAGGTTAACTAATGATGTCAATCGCTCTTAAATGGCACTACAGTGATGTTACCTCCATTTCTTCATTTATTATTCTATCCTTATTCATACTTTATTCTCCTTCCTATGTTTCTCCAGATGTGCTAAATAAATCCTAGAAGTGCTCCTCACTGTTCTCCAACTTCCAAAGTGTTTCCACTGATTAGTGATCCATAACGATAGTATGAAACCTCACTTATTGAATTTAATTATTGGTACCCAATCATAAGGAAAAATAACATGCTTTAATAATAAAAATAGGTAGCATTCATAAAGTACTATAAGTTTTGCAAAGCGCTTTACAAATATTATCTCATTTAATCTTCACAACAACCTTGGGCATTAGTTGCTATTATTATCCCCATTTTATATATGAAGAAACTAAGATATTAAGTGACTTGCCCAAAGTCACACAGCTAGTAACTGAGGCTTGATTTGAACTCAGGTCTTTCTAATTCCAGGCCTAACACTCTATCCACTGTACCACCTAGCTTTGTAGAATTTAGAGAATTATATACAATTAAATGGATTAAATTATTGGGCAAAGAGTTAGAAAAAACTATGAGCCAAGAAATAAAATTACGCTTGTAAACAGCTTTTAAAATACATGTAAACAAGTTATTAAAATAACTGAATAGTAGGCACATACAGAAAAAGGTTCACATCAGTCCAGTTATTATTGCTAATATGAAACAGGTTAGAATATTAATTGGCCAGTGTTGGATATTAAACTAAAGGACTGTTTAGTTTTTCTTGTTAAATAGAATACCCACTTAAGGTGTGACTAGTATAATTTATAAATTCAACTGAAGAAAGAAAATGTTTATGCAAATGTTCATTTACAGTTCAAATAGATTTTTTTGGTTTATACTACGCATAAAATAATTCTTTGTTTAATAGCAGACATTAGATCACTGAACATTTAACATGTGTCCATATCAATGCCTAAAAATGGGTGGGGTTATGTACATAGCCATTTGTCCTTCATGTCTGAAGATGAAACCAGTAATAGTAATTATAATATATGGATGGCTGAAGAAACTAATGCCAGACCAGTAACTATTTCTAAACTGTGCATATACTATTAAAGAATTTGAGTCACTGACTGTGGGATGATCAATTTACCTCTGAGTTCTGACAATTTACCTCTGAGTTCTGACATCAACATGTTTAACCTCTATCATTCCTTACCTTGGGTGATAAATCTTGTTCAGTTAAAACTGGTATTCTTTAATGTGTGATTTTTTTGGTTGGCTGCTTATAAAATCATCTTCCAGTCACTGTAGTCTTAAGAGTCTTATGGTAATGTGTCTGAGTGAGTCTGGATTTATCCCTGATGGCATATCCTGTGAATTCTGTAATCTGTCCCTTGATTTTAATATTTCTGGAAAATTTTCTTAAACAGTTTCATAAAATATGGTGATAAGAATATTTCTCTTTTTCACTATTTTTAAATGTGTAACTTTTAGGTACTCTCTAAGTTCTGTCCTGCGGATCTGTTACTTTTGTTTGCAAAGCTTCCAAGCATTCCTCCACTTGGGTCATCCCTTGAATTCCTTTTCCCCTTGTTTACATCATTGCATACAACAGAAGAACTGTTCTATTGTTTTACTGTATGCTTCAGGAGTATTTCCAATTTATTGAATTTCATTATCTTGCCTTGCTCCTTCTTCACTGATTTCATTTCTTCTTTTATTTCCTTAAGTTTATTTATCATTATCCATTTTATGGCTTTGACTTCATTTCTAAGGCTATTGTTGAGGTTAATTTGTCTTATTTCCCTGTGTTTTTGTTTGAGTTTCTTTTGATATACATTCTTTATTCCTTGTTTTGGAGTGCTTCCTGTCTCTTCTGGATCATTTTTTCTTTCCTGGGAAACCACTATCTTTTTTTTTTAAATGTAATTTTATTTTTAAAAAATTTTTTCAATTTTATTAATTTATTGATTTATCAACAATCACTTCCATATGCTTTTGA